CACCAAACCCTTCCGTTTTTACAGAGATTTCATCCCCTTTATTTTATTTTGTTATTGAATTTTTATTTGATCCTTTTATATTTGAGTTCTATTTTTTCATAGTCATAAGCTGAGATCAAAATCCCATCTCGTTTTCTAAACCTATAAACGTTTGGGAGCCAGTGAACTTGAAGGTTTTTCAAACAGTTGCAGTAAAGGTTTGTTCTTTTCTCAGATCTATTTATGTTTGATGGTTTATTCTATTTTTGAGATTATTTCTTTAGCATCAGCGAATATTCTTGGCGTTGGATCGGAATTGATTCATTTGATAGCCTCAACCCAAGATTGAGAATTTTTTTTCTCTCTCTTTGATTCCAGGTGTGTCCATTATTTTTCTCTTCTTTTTCTCGGTTCTAGCTTTTTCTAGGGATTTTAAGTTGCTTTGATTATTCAGATACGTTGTCTTTGGTTAGTTGAATTCCCGTATGTGGTAGATTTTTTATTTGTTTGATTAGCGGGAAAAATCTGGTTTAGGAAAGATAGGAGGATTGTAGTTTTGATTGTTGAATTTTGCTTACGCAGTAGAAAAAGCGAATTTGGAGTTAACTTGATTAGGATTTTTAAACTATTTAATATTTTTGCGTCCTTCTAGCTGTTGGCCTATAGTTAAGTAAGATAGTGTAAATTTATCTTAAAATCCTATTAAGTAACCAACTAGGCTTCTTAGTACCCTCAATTCTCTAGCGTTTTATTGGTGCATCTTCTTTCTTCTTTGGATTTCTTTTTCATAGTCCCTCATAGCTTCGATTATAGATGATTACTTGAGGTCATGTCATTCTTTTAGATCCCATAGGGCGTATAGGGGGAGGGCTCAACGGAGTGGTGTCAAGGAGACTAGACTTAGAGTTTGTTCGTTAAATGTAGGTACATTAAATGCTAGGCTGCTGGAGCTGACCGACGTACTTAGTAATAGGAAAATAGATTTTGCATGTATCCATGAGACTAGGTGGAAAGGGGCTCGCGCCAGAGAGTGTAATGGGTACAAGTTGTGGTATTCAGGAGTAGATAACGCTAGAAATGGGGTGGGTATCTTGGTATCCTCTAGTCTCAAGGAAAATGTAGTTGAAGTTTGTAGATACCGGGATAGGATCATGATGATTAAGGTTATTATAGAAGCGGAAGTGTGAATGTCCTTTCAGTGTACGCTCCACACGTTGGACTAGGGGAGGGGGAGAAACGTTGCTTCTGGGATCAGTTATTGTACTTAGGAGCATCCCGGAGGACCAAAGAGTTTTCATAGGGGGAGACTTCAATGGCCATATTGGTAGTGCAATCGACGGGTATGACGGTGTTCATGGGGGTTTCAGTTATGGTAGCAGGAATGATGAGGGGCGTACGTTGCTTGATTTTGCTACTGCTCACGATTTGGTGATCACTAACTCCTTATTTAATAAGAGAGATACGAACTTGATTACGTTTCATAGCGGGGGACATTGTACCCAAATCGACTACATCTTGGTTAGAAATCGGGAACGATGGGCTTGCATTGACTGTAAGGTGTTCCCTGAGAGGCATGTGCATCACAACACAAATTGTTGGTTTTGGTGTTCCGCGTACCCAACGGGCGGAGCACATCATAGAGGGCTAAACTGGGTAAACCTAGGATCCTCTGGAAGAACTTACATGGAGCGACAACTGATGAATTTAGGAGTAAGCTTTTGTCTAATACAGGTTTTGAAACTACAACTCAAATAACGCAGATATGTTATGGAAAAATATGGCAATTCCATCAGAGAGTGGGCAAAAACACCCTTGGGTTGTCGACGGGGAAGGCCAAGGAGCATAAAGAATCGTGGTGGTGGAACGACGAAGTCCAAACTAAGGTGAAGACAAAACAAACTTGCTTCAAGGAGTTTCTTCAATGCATGACGACGAAGAAAGGTCGAGAGCTAAACAAAGATACCAGGAGGCAAAGCGGGAAGCCAAGAAAACGGTAGCTAAAGCAAAAGAAGGCATATGAGGAAATGTACAAGAGATTAGACACCAAGGAAGGACAAAATGGCATCTTCAGACTTGCAAAATCTAGGGAGATTAGGAAAAAGGATCTAGGTAACATTAGGTTTATTAAGGACAACAATGGTGTTCTTTTAACAAAAGATCATGATATTAAGAGGGTTTGGGGTAGTTACTTCTCTGGCTTATTTAATGACGGTGCCTCTCCATGTAGAGATAGTATCGTTGATGGGTCAGCCGACCATCATACTACGGCCAATGACTGCCCTACAAGTAGGATTGGGTTTGAGGAAGTCAAATGGTTCTTAGAAAGATGGAAGGGAGAAAGCTGTCGGTCCTGATCAAATTCCTATCACTGTGTGGTTAGCCCTAGGAGATGAGGGAGTTAAGTGGTTGACCAATATCTTTAATATTATTTTAGAGACTGCCAAGATGCCAGAGGAGTGGAGAGAGTCTACGGTGATACCAATCTATAAAAATAAAGGAGATCCCCAACGTTGTGGTAACTATAGAGGTATTAAACTACTCAGCCATACCATGAAGCTATGGGAAAGGGTGATAGAGGCTAGGTTGAGACAAGTTACTAGGGTTTCGGAAAACCAATTTGGCTTTATGCCAAACAGGTCTACCACGGAGGCGATTCATATACTTCGACGGCTTATGGAGAAATATAGGGAAAAGTCTAGAGATCTTCACATGGCGTTCATTGACCTTGAGAAGGCTTATGATAGCGTTCCTCGCGATACGATCTGGAAGACTTTGGAAACGAGACGGATACCAACTGCTTATATACGGGCGATTCGTGATATGTACTGTAGATCTACTACTTACGTCAGGACTACAGTTGGTGACACCGAGGCATTCCCGGTGGAAATCGGACTCCACCAGGGGTCGGCTCTTAGCCCTTACATCTTCGCCTTGATTATGGACGATATCTATTGTGCGACACCAGACGGTGTACCTTGGTGTATGCTTTTCGCTGACGACATTGTCCTCGTTGCTGAAACAAAATCTGAGTTGAATAGTAGACTGGCTACCTGGAAGACTGCTTTGGAAGAAAAAGGTTTAAGGATCAATTGAAAAGACAGAGTATTATGTTCAAACTTCAATGGGAACCAAAACGATGAAGATGTAGAAGTATGCATAGAAGGACATGTTCTTCCCTCAAAGGATTGTTTCAAGTACTTAGGGTCATGATACATAAAGATGGGGGTGTGATGATGACGTTACACACCGTATAAAGGCGGGATGGCTAAAGTGGAGGGCCGCTAGTGGAGTTTTGTGTGACAAGAAGGTGCCTCTAAAACTTAAGGGAAAATTTTATAGAATGGCAATAAGACCAGCGCTGTTGTATGGATCAGAATGTTGGGCACCCAAGAAGGATCACGTAAGGAGGATAGAGGCCACAGAAATGAGAATGCTTCGATGGACATGTGGTAGGACTCTGTGGGATATGACGACAAACTCTGCTATTAGGATGTCCTTAGGGGTGGTGTCTGTTTCCGAAAAATTGAGGGAGGGAAGACTACGGTGGTTTGGGCACGTCCTTAGGCGACTACCGTCGGATGCGGTCAGGAGGGTAGAGTCGATTACAGTCGACGATGCCAGAAGGAAAGGACGACCAAGGCAGAAGTGGGATGACTGCTTGAGATCTGATTTGATGGATTTAGGCCTTACCGAAGACATGACCTATGATAGGAAATTATGGAGGCTTAAGACTAGGGTAGTCGAGTAGTGTGGGTTCAATCTATAGGGGTATCATCTTTGTCTTCTTTTAAAGGCATTTGTAGTAATTTCCATGACTTTACTTTTATACTTTTCTGTTATTGGTATTTATGAATGATTAGAACTGGGCTTGATATCGTTGTCTTCTGTGTATCATTCTCGTCATGTTCCCTCTGTATAAATTTAGCCGGGTCTTATGTTTCTGTCTATATACAGAGATTCTTTCGCAGGGATTATTTTGCAGGGATTACTCCCCATTACAGAAGCACATATGGTATTAATGACTTCATATGAATACTGTTTAGCTATGTATTTATGTAATTATTTATACATGCATTGCATTTTATCTATATTTTTAATTTTTTGACTGCCGGAGGTCTTTCACGGAAGCTATTCTCAACCTGGCGTTGGGGGCAGCCTACTACCCTACCTCCCCCTTACCCCATAAATATGGGAATTGAGTTTTGTTGTTGTTGTTGTTGTAGTATGACAGTTAATTATTGACATTAAATTTGAGGTAAAAAATAGTACTTTGATGATCGACTACATATCTTCCTTATACCAATATCAAAATCTATATGATAAACTTACACCTTCACAGTTATATAAATATAGAACATTTTGGAAACAAGAACTAAACATAATTACAGACATGTACGAGATACAAATCTGATAGATTCCTAACCGATTCAATTAGGTTAAGTTTTTCTAAAAACATATTAAAATATAGATTAAATCGGATTGGAGTTTTTAGATAACGAGTTCAAATCGAGTCAAGTATAAGTTTAAAGTAAAAAATACCGACCTAACCCAAAAAATATTATAATCATACCTTACATATTTAAATATAATTATAATGATACTCCTCTCTGTATTTTTTTTAATTTAATTCATTTTTATCAATTAAAATTAATATATATAAGGTCGAATCAAATTGAGATTTATTTCAAAAGACAGATCAAATTTCGAGTCGGATAGAATCACTTTAAAGTCGAGTCACTTCGGGTTTCAAATGAAAATTATTTTTTATCAAGTCAAATTGGATTGGACAAAAACTCAAACTCAACTCACCCCGAACTAAATCCATATCCAAGCATGGCATGAAATTGAATTAACAAATATGACCAAAAAAACACGAATTATAAGGTCCAACGTAATATCAGAAACGAATTAACAAATAGGCATACATAGAGAAGCAAATCCACATTTCAACGTCTAATTAACTGTGTAAGACCAAAATAATCGTACTGATCACAAACGCTATGGACATCTGATGATCTTTATGTACACTCTAACAACAACATTCCATACTTCAATATCTAATCATACCGTTCGTTCCTTCAAGAATAGGGCTGGAGTCATTAGTATTGACTCTTAATAACTCCCTCTCATGCTGTGAATCCATATATCCACCCTCCAGGTCCGATTGTTGTACATTCGCGTTGGATGGATTTGCATTTTGAGACTCCGCCAACATCTGGAAATACGCATGAGGTCCCCAGCCTGCAATGTCCGTTACAACAAAATACAAAACTAAGTCAAAACACATATCCATTCGTGTATATATCGTTCCAATGACCTTCTGGATACATGAAAAAACATATATATGAAGAAAAAAATCAACAAATTCAAGTTGGATACGTGCCATAACGGATACCGTATTCAGACCTAAGTAACGTAGTTACATGCCAAAAGAAGATAGAGAATGGGGAAGGAACATACCATCTACTTCATATGGCGCTGGAAAGAATTGCAAGTAACAAAATGATGAAACTGTTATCCCTGTAAAAAGAGGAAACAGAACAAAAGGAAAAGGACAGGGAGACGTAAGGAACATAAAAGAGAAAAGTAATAAGAAAAATGAAGTGCCCAGAAGACAAACCTAGAAGTCCCCCAGCAAAAACATCTTGCCAGTGATGCCAATAGTCATCGACTCGAGAAATTCCCACTAAAGCAGCAATAAGTAATGGTAAGAAGACGATGCATAGCTTTGCCACATGGCCCCTGCGATCAAATACCCGGATTTTTCCAGACAAATATAACGCAAGAAATCCAAGACCAGCAAAGGACCCTGCATGTTCAAGAAAAAAGATGCTCTAAAATCATTTTCTAGATAAAATAAATGCATGCATAAAAAATTATGACGGTTCATATTTGTACAGTTGTACACCCAATAATAAAGTAGCAGATAGCAATAATAAGGGGAAACAGGGGGGGCTTAAAACAAGAAAAATAACAAAAGAATGTCATGTAATGGCACTGAAACCTTATGTTATGTCCATTCCAAAACATGTTAAGATATGGTCTCCAAGGATACTTCAAATACATGGAAAAATTACCCAAAAAAAAAACTAGCATACTCGTGTTGGATACATGCATGTATCTTTATTAATAAGGATGTGGTTATGGATGTGAGAGTCTACAAAAGATGATTGAAACTGTGTCCATTCATGAAAATGACTGAAGCACGCCAAATGAAAATGAAATGATGAAGACAGATTTGTGCTGGTAAAATATTCAGGGGAAATCCAGTTAGTGCTTATATGAAGTGTGACCATGATGAAAATGGTCTGAAGCTGTAAAAAATTAGATTGCTTACACGAAGTGTGACCACTGGGAAAACTTTTGTGGCCTTCCTTGATGACACTCTTTAATCCAGTACACATAACATCCTTTGTCACAGGGTCAAACACCTGCATCATTGATGCAACGATTGCATGTTCACAAACTATTGGATTGATTGAGACTTGATTATGCAAACTTAAATTAAAAAAAAATCACAACATAGGGAGCTAACCCCTTTTCCATCAGGAAAACAACGCCAGAAGAAGTCTGGACGAGGTCGACCAACAGCATTTTTAATAGAATCAGTTATAACACCAGTGATAAGCACAGAAAACAGAAGTCCTGAATATACAATCAGGCACCAACTGTTACTAAATGCAAGTACATTCAAACAAAAGATGATGAACTTTCAGAATCTCAAGGGGAAAAGTAATTTTACCCAGTATGGCGTGGTGTAGATCATAAACATCCCTTCTGATGAAGTAGTATACAATAATGACAATAAACGGCAGCAGTATTGCAAGAATCTGTTATAAGCAAGAACATGATCATTATACTTTAGTATTGTCATTGACTGAATCTTAACAAACTCTGTTGCCAGAAAGTAATCCTAGCATGACAGTATGTCTCAAAGCTAGAACATACAGGAACGGCCCAAAAGGGAACAGTATTGTCTTTCAGTGGGTATCTCAGATCAGTCATCATATCCTCTCCAACAAAGCGGTGAAATGGTTCTATAACATTTAAAATGACCTCTATGACAATGAGAAGCAAAAGAATGAGCCAGTCATGCATGTGAGTCCTTGCAACTTTCACCCCATGGGACTTAACAGTGTGAGCACCCAACTGGATCTCTGGCATCCTCACTGATTTTAAAACATACAAAAAAGGTTAATACATGACAATAAAAACGAAATTGATATGCTAAAACAAAAGAAAAAGGGTGTTACATGAATACAGTAAAGACTACAATTACTAAGACAGCAAACAAGAAAACATGGACCATGACAATGACCATGAGGGCAATACAAACCAGCCACAACAATGAAATAAAATGCTAATTTGGCAGGATGTAGAGGTCAAATAATACAAGAATAAATCAAAAATCTAATAATAAGAAATTGACACATTCAAACATTGTAGAGCAAAATTCATAATGAATAGTACGAAGAGGGTTTATATAAAGAAAAATATACATAAAATAAAACAAACTTATGTAAACCAACAGAGAACAGAGCCAAAAAAAAAAACAAAGCTTTGTTCTGCTCCTTCCAATGCTCCACTCACTATCAGTAAGATGAGTTTTCTAGTTCAAAATCATAATTCGGCTCCAGGATGAAACTAATCACCAGGGACCCAACCTAGGCATCTAATTAATCACTAAAGCTTTGCTCCTGTCCAGATCAGTCAAGAACCTCAAGCCACTATTGAATTGCAGTTGAAAAGAGAAATCAAATGTTCCACTTAAGTCATTCTTGTTTCAGTACAAATAGAACTAAATCACGCACACAAACACAAAAGAACTAGACTCCTCCAACTCATAATTTCTTTTGAAGTATTGTATCCAACACCCATATCCAACTCATATCTGGATATAGGTATGGAGATAAACTTAAAAAAGAATAATTGATGATACCCATGTTAGACAAATCACAAATACTAACATAACCAAAAATGCAAAGGCAACGTTTATCTAAATGTAAAAGTAGTTTCCGCAACAAGTGGATCAAGGAAATGAAAAGGAAACAATAATGGATGGATGTTCAGCACAGTTCAATGTTGGTTACTTTGCTTCAACAAAGGGCACTTCGCTTCAGACATTTCTAAAAATCGGTGTTCCTCAAAGGAAAGAAGCTTCACAAATCCAAAGCACAGCTAATTGGAGTCAACACCATTATCCATCAATTGCAATGTTGACTCCACAACAACAAGCATGCCTTTCTCAGCTGTTGAAAAATATAAATCAAATCTATCGACTTCATCTAAAACCCTCCCTTATCAATAGAAATGCAAATCGATTAGCTAAACGAAGCTTGTTTAGAAAGGGTCATAAAAATTTAAATAAAACATGTACATCCAGAACGAACACCAACAGAATCATTGCTTTAAAACTCGTGGGTTAATCTTGAGGAAAAAGAAAAGAAAAACATAAATAGAAATTTTGTGCAAGCAGTTGTGTCATATATTTTCCTTTTTTTCACTCCAAAAGATTAGGAAAGGGAAAATCCAAAACAAACAATCAAAGAAAACAAACAAACACTCGCACAAAACTGTCATCGGTCCTGAGAAGTAAAACAAGCAAAACTCTGTTTCGAGTTCTACCTTCGTCTTTCCGTTTATTTGCCTTCAATTCCACAGCAAACAAACAAGCAAAAAAAAGCTCAAAAAGGAAAGGAAAGTAAAAAGTTGGTTGATCTAACAGAAACTAAGCGATAATATGAACCAACCCGTCGGAAAATTTAAACTTCTTCAGGAAATAAAGATCCAATGGAAGAGACGAACGAACGGAGTTACAGTCGACAGCGAACCAAAAAGCGCGTTAAGCTACTCTAATTCTATCTCTCATTATATCATTGTCCAACTGCTTTCTCGAAGCTTTAAATTTCAAATCGCGTTGAAAATTTGTGGCATGCTTAAAAAAAAATCTTTTTCTTTTTCTTTTTTTAGAAAGAAAAAAAAATTCAAAATCGCGTCCAACTCGAGGTGGGACTGATGGGGAGAACCGGCATCTTTTATTTTTTTATTTTAATTTATGTAGTGAAGTTGTTTTTTGGTAAATCTCTATACGGTGAGTTGGCGAACCAACGGTACAGTCGAGGGACCCGAATACGAGGTTTTATATAAATAATAATTAAGAGAGGCACATGTTAATTTTTAACTAATTAAAAACTTAGGGTAAAGTATATAAATAATCCCTTGATTATAGAGCAATATTTTATTAGGTCATCTGACTATTAAAAGTTATAATATAGTCTTCTAACTATATGACTTTATTTTATTGAATCATCGACTATTAAAATGGCTATTCATATATTCCAAACTTGTCTTTTTTCGTTAAAAATTAGCAATTGTCTACGCTGAATGCTAACATACTCATTGAGTAATGATAGAATCATATTTTAATGATGTCTGATGGTACTGTCATTACTTTCAATCACTGACTTGATGGTTCTAGAATCAAATTTTATCATATTTCAATCAACAAGTTAACGTCCAGCTCATATGACTGCTAATTATTTAACGAAAAAAGGACACGTTTATAACATATAAATAATCGAATGATCATTTTGTAACTTTTAATAGTAAGGGACTGACAAAGTAACATCATGTAGTTAGTAGATCATTTTGTAATTTTTAATAGTTGGGGGACTCAATAAAATATCACCCTATAGTTGAGGGTCATTTGTATACTTTACCCAATTTAATCTATAAAATTTTCCCAAAGAAAAACATCTACAACAAATAGGATATTAACGCAAGAAAAAATAACAATATAATATGATATAAAATAATTCGAATACAACAATAAAAGTTTCAGATTTTATATAATATTATTTTTATAATATATAATTGGATAAAATTTATAAAAATTATTCATGGTTGAATTTGACCCTTAACATCAACTGAAATTTAAGATATATAAATATTTAGAATTATATAAAAAAAAGGGTTTAAAATAAGTTAAAGTTATAAAAACATGCAAAAATTTATGCTTTCGTATAAAAAAATGTTAAAACTATACCTTTTTGTTGTTGTTTAGGTGTCCAAAAATATTTCGATTAATTTAAATGTTTAACTTTACAAACATTATCATTGTAAGTATCTCAATTGTAATGGTCATTAAAAAGTCCGTTAAATGACACATATCCTATTTATATGATTTTGAACTATTATATTTCTTAAAAAAAAATTAAAATATTTTATTAAAAAACCCAAATATTTTTTCTAAAATACAAAAAAGGAAAAAACCAAACTCTTTAAATCTCTAATTTCATCCCTTTACTAACGTCGGTCATTGTCGCTCGCCATCATAAAACAGAGACCCACTAATTAACTGTCACTCTTGTTGTCATCCTAATCTACTAAATCCTTAAAATTCGCACCCAAATTTCTAACACTACATTCTTAATCCAAATGCCTAACACTAAATTTATAATCTCTCCTTTCCACCGTTGTATCCCATATATTTGCCTATTATTCATTTGTTGTTTAACGCGCTTGAGGCTGCTATTCAAGGCATTTGGTTTTGGAGGGCAAATTAACCAAAACTTACGTTAATTCATTGTTGCATTTGCTTTGGATCATTTAACGCAAGCTTTTGATGATAATTTTCTTTTTCTTACAGTGGCGACGACTAGGAATTTAAGTGGGTTTAGAAATTTTGACCGATGGATAGAGATTTAGGGGTGGTAATGACTGCGAAGGAGCCGACAGACAAAGGGTGGTCGGTAAGTTTAGAGGTTTAGAAAATTTAGGGGATTTTCTGAAATTTTTTTCTTCAAAAACATGGTGTTTTTTTTTAAAAAAATAATAATAATATTTTTAAGGTATTTTTAAAATAAAAAATAAAAAATTAACCCACGTATTAAACACTGGTTTGTTAATTGATTTTTAATGAATTTTTTAACATTTGTTATGGTATAGATACTTAGAATAAAACTTTTATAACGTTACGCAATTGTATTGATCAAAAAAAATTAAAATTCCTAAATAAGAAAATAAAAATAGTTTATGCACTTTTTATATTAAGCTAAAATCTATCGGTGTCTTTCCCAAAAAATCACTGGTGATCGGTATATTTATCGATCTAAAATCGGTCAGATTATATTTCCCGATCTAACACTCGTAGCAGTAAAGCACGCCCCTTGCACTGCGCTATACACTAATTTGGCGTCACGTGAAGTATAGCGCGCCCTCTGCCCCGCGATATACGGTGATTTGGCGCCACGTGGGTATAGCGCCCCCTAATCCGCGCTATACCTGGTTATCTGACACGTAGGGTATAGCGCGGTGCAGGGGGCGCGCTATACCCCTAAATACCCGTCCGTCCACATCCCAATCCTCCCTATAAATTCCTCCATCCTAAATCACTTTTATCACACCAAATTCTCTCAATTTCTCTCAAATACTCTCTCTTTTTAAGGTATATTTTATAATATTTTTAATATTATATATTTAATTTATTTAAGTATTTTATTTAATATTTTAGTAATATAATTCTTTTGCAGATACATAATAGAAGGCAGTCTACTTCGCTCGGATGGAAATCATATATCTCTACACTTTGCTGATACCGTAACATTTTAACGTTTTAATTAAATTCAAATTATTAGTAATAATTAGTTGATTTATTTAATGCATGATTATTAGATTAAGAATTAAATATCTCGACACTTTGCTGATACGGTAACATTTTAACGTTTTAATTTAATTTAAATTATTATTAATAATTGTTGATTTATTAATGCATGATTATTAGATTAAGAATTAATTTTTGTAATTATTTATTTTTAGGAGAATGACCGTGTATTAGATCCTTTTATTGGGAATCTTAAGTTAGTGATACCCAGTCGTGTCTTGTCGTATTTAGTAGAGGCTAGATTCGGTTACATAGGTAGATATCAGGGTTACTTTAAGATAGAGCCAGACCTGATTTCTGCCTTAGTAGAGCGGTGGAGGCCGGAGACCCACACATTCCATCTTCCGTGCGGAGAGTGCACGATCACGCTTGAGGATGTTTCTATGCACCTGGGGCTTCCGGTGGATGGAGATGTGATATCGGGGATAGCTTCCGGTTCTTGGACTACTTTGTGTCGGGATAGTCTAGGACGTGTCCCGGAAAATTTTATCGAATGTAGGATACCATTAAATTGGTTAGATGCCAATTTTCGGGAGCTGAGCGCAGACACATCTGAGGATGAGGTTAAGATGTATGCACGGGCATGAATACTGCAGCTGATAGGAGGGTTGTTGATGCTGGACAAATCGCGCAACCTAGTTCACTGCATGTAGTTGCGACATCTTAGCGACTTTTGTCTCGCCGGATCATTCAGTTGGGGCTCGGCAGTTTTGGCTTTGCTGTACAGGGATGTGTGAGCCCTGACTACAGGCATAATGCTATCGGCGGATGTCTCCTGCTGCTGCAGTCTTGGGCATGGTATCGATTGCCCTTTTTATGTCCCGTTGTGAAGAACCCATTCGTATTTCCACTACTTCTGAGGTAATTATAAAAATGATTTTGTATATTAATAATTTTATACAACATATAATAAATTTTTTTCCTTGAATAGGTGGTATACTTATAGGAAAAATCATCAGGAGCTGCCTGATGATTTAGAAAAAATTAGGGTGCTAATCGATCATAAGGCTGGCATACAGGTATGAATTTTAATGTTTAAAAATCGATTTTATATTATAGTTATATAATTAGATTATTATTTTGATAAAAATTTTATATTATTTGTTTTAGTTTGAATGGGTGTCATATTCTACTGATGATGTGAGGGCGGTAATCCCACCTGAGTTGAGGGGTCCATTAGATGTTTGGATGGCGATAGTCCTTCTGATATGTTATGCGACCGTCGAGTGGCAATCCACTGATCGCGTGCTCTGACAATTTGGTTGTTTTCAACCAATTCCGGAAGTACCTCGCAATATGGACGAGTTGCATAGCTTAGATCGACAAGACAGATACAGATTGGCTGATGAGGCATCATGAGTGGGTCGTTTTGTGGGAGGATCAACATCGGTGTCTTCCCCGTAGAGAGCCCATTTTTTATGACCTCTTGATGTATACTGGCGGTTATTATGAGTGGTTCAACAGTAACGGGAAACTGTTTCTGCTTCCCGAGGATGCACGAGAGCATACCTTTCCACGACGTCAAAAGAGAATTGATCCGACACAGCATCATCGTCCCCCGACTCGTGGACGGAGAGCATGTGCTTCCGGTTCATCCTCAATTGCACCAGCAGGACCTTCACAGCAGCCACCGCAGCCATTTATGATGTTGCAGCCATATATGATGCCGATATCGCCTTTTCATTACCAGATATCGCTGTCACCGCCTTCACCTAGTTTTATGACCCCGCCGCCGCCACCGTCACAGATGACCCCTCCTGGAGGCTATTATGGGTCTATTTTTGGAGATCCAACTTGGGGTTCATATACTGGATATTTGGCGGGTTTAGCCTCATCACCCATGGTCGCAGCACAGACACCTCCTGTACAGTTTTCAAACTCAGCGATGTCTGGGTTTTCCCAGTTTTCGCAGGCCGGTGGGATAGTCAGTCATACACCTCCAGGGTCCTTATTCTATGGAGGTGCTTCATCGTCATCAGCTCCTCATCAACCTAATGTATCTGCTCAGGACGACAACGATAACGACGATGACGACGGTGATGATGATGACAACAAGGAGTTAGAACCAGTGATATGAAGAAATCCTCCTCGAGACCGACAACCACC